TAAATATATTTTTTATAATTAATTTTTATTAAAAATAAAAATTTTAATTTTAATTTACTAAATTAATCAATTAAAATATCCATATATTAATAATATTAAAATATATATCAATTTTTATAATTTTTATTATAAATTAATTATAAAAATGTATTTATTATATTTTTAACACAAGTCCTCAAATTACAAATTAGACAAATCCTTTAATATTTCGTGAAGTTCCCATTAAAAAAAAGACAAAGAAAAATTATGAAGTTGACCCAGTAAACACTATTATAAATATTATTTGGTGAAAAGATAACATTTTTTTAATTATCACCAGAAACAACTTCTTCCTTAACTCTTTGTCATTTTGCATTGCATTTCCCATTTCTTTGATATAAAATCCTTTTAACCCCTCAAAAGTAGTCTCTTCTCTTTTTACCTTTCCAATTTCATTTTTTATTTGAATAAAAATTGTATTTCAAAAGATCAAGATTTTTCTTTTTGGATGAATAAAAAAGCAAATGCTATAGAAATTTTTTAAAAAAAAAAAATCGGTACTGTATATATAGAAAATAAATTTTGATAGTATGTAAAACAAAGAAATTACAATTTTTAAATAAAAAATTTGTAAATTTTTAATTTAATCTTTTCTTATTTTGATAAAAATTTATTTTTATAAATAAAAATAATTATATTAACAATATTAACCATTTAAATAATTTAATAATTATTTTTTTATTAAAAATAAAAAATTTTAATTTTAAATTATATAATATACAGATAAAATAAAATAAAAGACGTGAGTTAATTACTCTTGTTGCGAAAAACAAAAAAAAGAAAACACTGTATTAACGATTTATACCGCAACCTACTGCGAAATAATTCTAATAAATTCTATAAATGCCACGGAATGGCGTATGAAAGGGGCTTCAAAATTCTCTGGACGATCCACTCAGACTGTGGGCCACCACATCCGAATCTTTCTTCCCTTCCCAATATTTTCTATATCGTGCGGTCAAATACCTTACGTAGAAAACAGGGTGTCATTAAAAACCAATCAGAATGCGGCACGTCCTAGTCAACACCCATTTAAAACATCACGTGCCGACCATGCGGGGACCATTGCTTACGCGTCAAAGCGGGAAATGATGAGAATCTCCCAATGTAATGGTCTCATCCGCAGCGGATAGTAAATCTGAGAGCCTTAAATTCACCAATGTCGACGTGTCAAGCGCCTGCCACGCCGTCTGCTGGACAAAGTTCACAAACAGTCAACCATAAACATTAAACCCTCAAAACCTCCCAGGTCCTAAATTAGAAAAGAAAAACCATTCAAAACTGTCACCGCCACCACCGTGCACCGCCACCATCTGCCGTCATGAGGCTCACTAGCTGGGCCCGATCACCGTCACTATCACCATCGCCATCTCCAACGCCAACGCCGACGCCAACTCCATCACCGTCGCCATCCGTCACTTCTTCTTCCTCCGTGACGTCAACACCGTCGCCGCCAGCAGTGCCATCAAGGGTTCCAGTGGACTTCAGCCCACCGTTAATCGCCATGGTGGTAGTGGTGGCAGCGGCATTTTTAGTTGTTACTTATTCCCGTCTCATATCCCGCCGCCTTATCCCGCCACTTGTCCGCCTCTTCAGAATTTTTAGGCGGCGTCGCCGCCGCCGTCGTTACCTTCCTTCCACGACCACGGACCTTGACTCCCTCCCTCCATCTGATCCATTCGAACTACCACTCTCTCCCTACGGGCTTGATGACTCGGCCATCAAAGGCCTCCCCCTGTCCCTTTACTCTTCAAAACTCAAGATCAACAGCCCAAAGGATTGTGCGGTTTGTTTGCTGGAATTCGAGGACGATGAATACGTCCGTACACTACCCGTATGCTCCCACGCTTTCCATGTAGACTGCATCGATGTCTGGTTGAAATCACACGCCAACTGCCCTCTCTGCCGCGCCGGAATATTCGCGGCAGAATCACCATTCATTCCTTTGATGGCGGCCCGAATCCGACCTAGTCTCGATGACCCTGTTTTACTGAGCACCAGTCTCGATTCCCTTACGGAGACTCCTCTCCAATCTCATGGCATCACCATAACAGAGATCACTGAAGAACCATCCCCAAGAGTGGGAAATGCTAATCTCAGTACCAATTGTGAGGAAAACAGATTCAATTTTGTATTGAAAAGGTCATATTCTTTTGGGTTCGAGAGGAATTTGGCGGCAGAGAGGATGCTAACGGAGCCAAACACGGCTTCCCCATGGAGATACCGGAGAGGGACGAGTGGGTTCTGGAGCAAGCGTCCATCGCCGTTCGGATCATTGATGGCAAAGCCGAGAGTTTTCTCATTCAGGTACTACAGGGGAATGAAGACATCACCGTTTTTCCGACGGAGGGGGTTCTTCCCGCTATCAGAAAGATTCTCCGGCGGTGGATCGTCGAGACGGAGCAAGTCCATGACGAGCCCGATGTTCCTTAGATCGGCAGCGTCAGGCGTGGCGGCTTTCTCGTCGAGCCGGCTGAGGTGTGGGGATCCCGAGGCGTTGCTGTCACCGGAGAGATTCAACAGAAGATAAGAAAAAAAAAAGAGATTTTTTTTAGAAAAATGGGATGACACGTGGAAGGACAAGATCAGAGGAGTGGAGAGGAACGGACGGTGGAGAAGGAAGAGGGGTCCGACGAAATTAATGAGGAGCATGCGAGGGAAAGCGCGGCATTAATGGAGGTGGGGAGAGGCATTAAATGAAAAAATTGACGAGAGAGAGAGACACAGCTTTCGCAGCGGTTCATAAATGTGCGACTTTTGGGGTTTGGGTCTCTTTATTAGGTCAATTTGTTCTTTTGGTTTAATAGGCTGGGGTATTCGGCAGGGTCCATCTTGAGTAAGCCGTAAGGGCATGGGCTCCTCCTTTATATTCATTCAATTCATGAGAAAGAAGAGGCAGTCCATTTGAGTTTTTGACACATTTTTCTAAACTATGATTTTGGTATGTTGTGTTATAATCTGGGGCAACTTTTCGTTTTTTTGTCACTGTAGATCCCTAATGAGGAGACGGGAGTGGGGACTTCGAAGGTCTCAATTATTTTGTTTTCAATGGAATATGTGCAGGAGAATGCTAGTTGCGCTTGGCACCAATTAATGTGTGTAATTTTTCAAAAAAAAAAAAAGCTTCAAAAAAAAAAAGTTAAAAATAATAAAAAAAAAAGTTAAAACATTCAGTGAGAAGTGTAGTACTTGTTCATTTGGGTCACGTGGAGTGTACTTGTCACTCATATGCAGATGATAAAATTTTACCTTTTAAGTTCTTAAATTTATTTTAAATTTTAATTAAGTTTTTAAATTTTTATTAAAATAAATAAAATTTTAAATTTAACAATTTAAGTAATTTAATTTTTTTAAATATAAATTTAATAATTATTTATATTTTATTTATGTGAATAAAATGTTAATATATTATTATTTATATGATAAATATTAAATTTATCCATATAAATAAGATATAAATGAGTGCTAAATTCATTATAAGAAAAAAAATTAAATTATTTAAATTACTAAATTTAAGAATTTAATTATTTTTAATAAAAATTTAAAAACTAAATGAAAATCTGGACTAAATTTAAAGGTTTAATATAAGGTTTTGCCTATACAAATCTGCACTCCTCATGTGCAAATGTCTTTTTTTTTTTCCCCCTTTTTTACTTGAATAGCCCATGAAAATGGTATATTTAAAAAGGTTTAGGTACTGATCTAAATACTTAAATCATATTGTAAATATAGTTTACAAAACAACGCTTGATACTAATAAATCCAACTGTAGAGTTACCAAATTAAACGTTGTTTTTTCCTTTCAAGCGTTAGCTAATCACCCTTGACTTGGTAGAAACTAAAGCTACCTCTTTAGCTGAGGGCATGTGGTTGGGGCCCTGGGGGGGTTTTGTATTTGATTCCAGCTCAATCCCTTCACAGCCCCTCTCTCTCTCTCTCTCTCTCTCTCTCTCTCTCTCTCTCTCTAAAACCCCACTCTCTGTAGTCTGTAGCATATATTGTACTTATAATTGTCCTTTAAAAAGCAAAATGTGACAATCCACCCTTAACTAGATTTAAAAGAAAAAAAAAAGGAGTAGCACATTTGATAAAATAAAATCAAAAGATTCTAAAATAAATTTAAAATGTCCTGTTTGAATTTTAGAATTACACAACATAAATTATTATAGAAAAAGTATTTTATAGTGTCATTAAGAGTTTAATTAAATTAATATTCATTAATTTAAATACTTTAATTTAAAGTTAAAATCATATGTATAAATCTTTATAATACCAAGCAATTAACCTTTTGATGTATAAAAAAATATTTTATAATCCATATAGTAAAATATTAACTATAAAATGATGAAAGACTGTGATAATAAACATTAATATGTTCATCTAATAACTAACATTTTATAATCTAATTTATACTTAATTGCAAGCTATAGATTCATTATCATATAGAGAATGATAATATTATAATTATAATTTCACATAAAATTGTAAAATTATAATCATAGAGTGTCATTAAATAAGGGTAAGATATTATTAAATAAGTAAGTGTATATAATATTATAAGTGAATTTTTTTTAAAAAAGAGTAAATTATAAAGTAATATACCTTTATAAATTAATATTATTACCTAACATTGCAATTAAATCATTTGAATATAGCGAATAAGCAAAATGTTGGGCAATCCCTCCATATATTAATTTCGGTTTTACAGAATTCAAGAAAGAAAAATTGCTATTCATATTAGAAATATAAAAAGGAAAAACCAACAAATCCAAAAAAAAAAAAAAAGAAAAGAAAAGGAAAAGATTTTAAAGTGTGGTTATTTCCTCTATAAACAAATGT